TTTTCTTTTTTTCTTTTTCATTTTCAATATCAGAATCTTGGCATCTTTCTCTCTTTTTCTGAGCACTGGAACAAATTTCTACTATTTTGCTCCTGTCGTGCTGTGCTTGAGCTCCTTTCATATAACGTACGAGGCAAAGATCGCTCGCCTTCTATATTACCACTGAGAATCAAATACTGAAGGGCTATAGAAAAGTTCATCATCTGTAATGCATCTTTCAGATGCCCAAAAACACTTGAAAATTTAAGACTGCTACAAACATTTCAAATTGCCCCATGAGAGTATTCCATAGTTGGCTTCTCTTCTTGATATCCTCCTGGAGTTTTTTCTCTGATTCCTAGTTTGAATCATGGAAGAAATCATAGGTTCTCCTTTTCTTCTTAGCTTTCATCTATTCAAGCAGATGACTAATTCATCATCGTTTTAGCTGAACTAAAAAAAAAGTGTTCTGTAACACTCATGATCTTAAAATTCAATGTCAAATGCTGTTTCCTTAATACTGTAGTATTTCCAAGATTCAAATTTACCTTTGATTTCCCTCCTATGTGGCTAAGCAGACTAGTAAACATAGAATCACAGAATGGTTTGGGTTAGAAGGGACCTTTAAAGGTCACCTAGTCCAACCCCCCTGCCCTGGGGAGGGACACCTTCAACTAGATCAGGTTGCTCAGAGCCCCGTCCAACCTGACCTGGAATGTTTCCAGGGATGGGGCATCTACCACCTCTCTGGGCAACCTGTGCCAGTGTTTCACCACCCTCATTGTAAAAAATTTCTTCTTTATATCTAGTCTAAATCTCCCCGCTTTTAGTTTAAAACCATTCCCCCTTATCCTGCCACAACAGGCCCTGCTAAAACATCCCTTATAAATACATTCTGTTGTAGCAGGTCTTTCTGTACAGTACACTACCACTCTCTTGCTATTATTTTCTACCCTTTCCTTTATTACTGAGTAAGCATTTGCTTTTGTTTTATTATTTTTTGGTTGTGGTTTGGTTTTTTGTTGGTTTTTTGTTTGTTTTTTTTTTAAACTGCTTACCTTGATCTCCAATTTATCTTTGCTTACTTTGTCTTTTAAATGCATTTTCACACCATGGTCCAATATATGGGAAATCTGAAATTTGTATAAAAGGTAAGTATTACAAGATTTTGTTGTAGTTGTTTTAAGCTAGATGTTGACTTTTTCCCTCCCACCCCCAGCTTTGAGACATCTAGGCTTTTCTGCTCTCAAAAATACTGGAGTTTGTGCTTTCTGTGGAGCTCCAGGACTTTGTGTCATCTCAGAACCATCTCTACCCGTTCACTGCTTGTCCCTCAGTTTTGGCCGAGTTTTGGACTTTGCACTGCAATAGCCTAAAAGATCTTAGAATGAAAAGAAAACCAAAGGGCTGTACTCATGCACAGAGACAATTTGCATCTTTCCTCTCTGTTGAAGAGGGAACAGAGGCCTTCACATCACCATCACCCAAGCAGGGGGAGATTCTGTTCTCTCACGTGTTTGCAGGTGTAGGAACATGGTGCCAGTACGGAGCTGCAGCCGCAGGGAGACTGAGAAACCTGGAAGCAAGGGCAAATAATTTGCTAAAAACTAACAATGTTCAAAGACCCCTCACCTCTGCATTTTACCTCCCCGTTAGACATAAGGGAAGAGGGTCAAGAATCTGGCAGAGAGAGGAAAAGGCTGAACTCACATGAAAGGGGTGTGGCTTAGTGGTTTGAAAAATGTGTTGTCATGTTTACTGTTAACTTTCGGATTTAATTATACATGGCATCTGTCTGTGAGGGAAGCCTGGCCAGGAATGCTATTAATGTGAAATCCATAATCAGATTGCTGAAGTGCATTGAAATTCATTAGGCCAATTCTTAGAACTTGGAAAGTAAATAATGCAATTATCAAGTCAAGAACGCCTAAAACAATGCATAAATGTATTTGGAACCAAGTTGAAGATTATGAGATACTAACTCAAACCTGGTGTGGCTTTCACATATCTTATTTTAAAAAGTACAGAAAAACTAATTGGGCGGGTACAGTCACTGCAAAAAGTACAAAGAAGGTTCTTTGGAAGACGAAAGAACAGGGCATGCATTTAAATCGGGACCATATGACATCATCTTGGGTTCCAGCTGACAGATACGGGTTTCCTCTGGATTCCTCTCTTGCTTGTCCAAATTCTCCAATCTTTTGACCAAGTCAGAGATACAACCACTATTTTCCTCTTATTTCACTTGCATCTTCCAGTTTATTCTTAGCACCAGGAGTGCGGGAGCAGGCTGCCTTTTTACTTTACAATTTGCTAATGCAGTATTAGTGGGACTTCAAAATGAAGTTTGAAGGCCCGTAGACGCTAGGCTTTGCACAAATGCTGCCTGACGTCCCTTAAAAACGCTGGTCGTGTTGCGTTCGGTGTGTCTGCGAGCCTTCTTGTGGCCCATTTCTCCCGGCTGCCAGCTCGCGCGTGCTGCTTGACAAAGATAAGGGCTGGGGACCGGCCCGCTCGGCGGCGGAGCAGCTGGGGTGGAATCTTCCTGGCAGCCAGCCCAGACGCGGCTCTGCTTTAATGAGAGCGGCAGGGTGGGAGCTCGCTGCCCACTGGGAGATCGTTTTCCTGGTGGGAGGCGGAGAAGCGGTGTATGTGAGAAATCCTGCCCTATAAAAGTGCTTTCCCATTATTTGGGCGATGAGCCCGTAATTTTAACAAATTATTTATGGCTCTAGCTGCAAGCAGCGATTTAATAAAGATACTGTTTTGAGCTCCGGTTGAATTTTTTGATGAATCAGTCCCAGCTGTTTCCACCATGTAGCAAAGCAATTTCAGGCACCAAGAAGGAAACTGGGCGTTCAGTGACTGGAGCAGCCCAAGTGGAGCAGACGCTTTTGTGGGAACTGACAACGCTGACTTGGGAAGCTGTGGCGAGAGCAGGAATAGAAGATACGGATGGAAAGGACTCGCAGCAGATTATCTCCTTGTTAACACTGAAATTTTGTGCTGATGGTAGCAGTTTACCTTTAAAAAGGGAAATCCGTTTCTTTGCACGCTGCAGCTCCCCGTTTGAGAAGTGGAATCTTCTGTATCCTACCGGTTGCCAAACGAAAGGAACAATTAAGCGGCTGCACACAAAGCCGGGTAGGGCGCACCTCTAAAAGTCACCTGGCGACACTGAACGGGCTGTGCCCCTCTCAGGCCTTTTGGGAGGACAAAACATGTAGCACCAGCATAAGGAGCCCACAGTATTCTTGTCAAATGCAGGACCTGGGCTGAGCAGTTTTGTTGAGTGTGGCTTCATCATTAATGTGCCACACTGATATGAACGTATATGAAAATAAATTTTAAAAAAAAAAAAAAAAAAGGGAAAAAAACCCTGGAGGTGAAAGATTAGGTGTTTGCTCAACTTTTCGTAACAGCATAACGCGCATACTGCAGTGCTTAAAAAACTAAAATTGCCCTCTCAGTAAAAGCCTTACAAAGCCTCTTCCTATTTAAGGCTGCCTTAAGCCCCAAAGCTCATGAAATAATGCAAATACGAGACTGTGATGAAGAGAGTCAAACCCCCTCTGCTATAAGATAACGACATTTAACACAAAAAGTCTTCACTCTGCGGATTGATAGAAACTGGTTCTACCGGCGTTCCCTTGGGATGACTACAGTCTTCTGGGTCAGTGGTTCACCTTCTACTTCACACCATGCAAGTTATTCTGAACAATGTCAGAGCAGTTATGACGAGTATTGTACCGGCTGCTGTGTCAGAGAACACAGATGCAGCTGGAAAGGCAGTTCTTGTTGGTTTAGGTAAGATGTTGCCTCCAATATAGCTACGCTAATAGGAAGCATGGCTGTAATTAGGAGATTGCAAGATAAAACTTTCAAGTACTCACTTTCCCTTCGCTTTTACACATATTGTGTTTTATCAGATAAAAGGTTTTAAACGATTACTAGAGCAAATAAACAGAAAAAAGAACATAGTATTTTGTGAAGGGTTATTCTTGGGTCTTGGGGAAAGTCAGTGCGTTCCCGTATCAACCTCAGCCTCTCTGCTACTACTTGGATAGCCCGAAGCGCCTCAGGGCTTTTATAGTGTCATCTTCTTACTTTCATTAATAGACACAGACTTAATATGCACAGATCAAGAATTAGTGAGCCTGGTGGGGGAAAAAAAAAATCATCTACAGTAGGTAACTTGTGACTGGTAATATTAATAGAAGTCCACCAAGAACAGCAACTAAGAGAACTTTTTAAATTGTCAGTGTAATAATATGCTTGTTGGCACAACATTTAAATCATCAGATAACGATAAGAATTCTTATCAGTTAGAATTCTCCCATCCATCCCCAGCTTGCTAGCAGCAATTTAGACTGGTTTCCTAAAGATCAACATTTTATGTTGGAAACTCCAGTTTTGTGACAAATCTTTCTGACAATTTAAGCACGTAGGGACTTTTGAATAAATACGTATTGCATGAGTCAATCCTCGCAATTCACAGGAAAATTCTTTAAGGCCTAGATTTTATGTGTATTCCCTGTAGACATTTTTTTCCCCCCTTTTTCCAAGTTCAATGCAAAAAAGTGCTAAATTATATGATGTTCTTGAATCATCACAAACAGATCTGCACAGCCAATATCCTGACTGAAGTTGCCAGCAGGAGGCAAAGTTGTATGTTCTGGGTTTGCTTTTTAATGTATTTTATTTTTAACTTATTTATACAGCGGTGGTAAAGCGCTTCTTTACCACCACTTCGTATCTACCACTTGATTGTACTCATCAGCTATCTTATGGCTGCATTCCGGTAGCCAATGATGTAATTTCAGGCCATTTCCTAATAAAAGCATTCAAAACCTAGTATCTTAATTTAGCCAACAGGTGAAAAGTTAAGTAAGCAGAATATGGACAGCCTTCAGAGGAAGATTAGGTCAATCTCAAGAATGTATGGAAATGGTTCTATAATTAAATGATTTCGTTAACAGCCCCTTTTTGTGAGCACTCAATTTGTTTAAATCCCAAACTAATAAACCGTCCTTGCATTTTAGATTGTCGGTGCACAAATGCCTTGGCACGTAAGTCCACTCTCTGACTGTAATTTGATTCAGCAGAGAGGTGTGTCCGCGATTTGGCTGCGGTCAAGGAAGGCGGAATGAGCTGTAACGCTTCAGCAGGTTGAATGGAAGACTCCCCCCACTTTGACACCCTGAGCAGCCAGGGCATTGTACTCTTCCACAGCCTTCTCCGTTTGCAAGACCAACACGTCAATCCCATTTTTCTTCAGATAGTCCACAGTAGATGGTGGAACCTCAGAAGAGAAAAGGAAACGGGAAAAGCAAGTATTAGATTCTTTTTCCCCCACAATAAGGCTTGAAGAAAAAAGAGGTACTGATGGCATTTGTTAGTAGATGCACCTAAGTAACTGATAATAGCCAAACTGATAATATGCTCAGATATTTCTAAGATTGATATCATTTTTTTCTCTTCAATAAAGCTACTTTTATATACACACTCCCATCTCTCCTTATCATGGTTTAAAATGCAGGCCTTCCTTACGAAAGGAAATAGAACTGGAGCTAAAGGTAACTAACCTTAATAAGGTGTTACCCACCTCACCAAAAAGCTAAAGAATTGTTTCTCATGAAGTGAAGCTCAGCACTTCTGAGCTTTCTGTAGCTAGTTTATCTGCTGAAATGACACCCTGCCAATATTAGTAACAAAAATACCTAATTATTAAAGTATTTACAGCAGGCTAGAGAGCTAGTTCATAACCTATTCTAAGAGGGGGGGGGACTAATGACACTGTAAAAAATTCTCCTTGTTTAAATTGCTCCTGTAGCTGAATGTAAACCTGTTTACTGCTTGACATTGACACTAACACAGAGGAGCTCAAAGAACGGTTCTTTCAGGAAGACAGTGACTCCTGGCAGGAGTGCAGTCATGCTAATTCAGCATCCTGAATTTTTTCCCCTCTTAGTAAAGCATCATAGATTCCACACCCCACCCCCCCCCCAATCAGAGGGAGAGGGAAAACAAACAGTTCTAGTTTATGTTTTACACAGAACAAAAACACACCTGCAAAGCCTCACTCATGCCACGACCGATCACCACAGTTTTAACACCCTTCTTGACAACTTCTTCAAGGTCAGCTGGCTGCACTCCTGGAGAATGCTAAGTGTCAGGGGAAGAAAATAATAGTCTGTGTACTGACAGCATCGACCAGGAAAGCTTCGTTTGTACGTTTTGAAACTGTCCACAGAGTAGCAGGGTAAATTAGCAGCACCAAAATGTAACACAACACTCCCTTCTGCATACACACAGTAGATAACATTGGTAATTAAAAAAGGTATTTTATATGCAGATGAAGGATGACAGTTAATCAATTGATGGCAATGTTACCATTCTTTATTAAACAGTTAAAAATAAATAGATGCATTACGTATTTCTAAAACATTTATGTCTAACAACTAGCATTTTATAAATATTAAAAGTTAAAGTGAAATCAATAAATTGCAATGTACTGCCATTTGTTTTCAAATGAACAAAACCTTTTTGAAATAAAGATTGTGGCAAGCCAAAGTTTACTCACTTTAATTACAAAGAGCTCCTCAAATAATTAAAATGATTAAATTATTTTCTTGTTTACTTTACAAATCTCATTTACCAAAGAGGACTATTGGTTAGCTTCACTTCAGTTAACAGTTTGAATTTCTGCACTATTCTTAATTTTGAGAAAGGAATATTTGAAAGCAAACTCCTCAAAGAAAAAAAGAAGAGCTTTAACAGCATGCTGATTGAGTTTTTAAAGAAGTATACCCATTTACTACTAGTACGCTTTAAACATATGAATACACAAATCCACCTGTAATGTTAGTATAAAACATTATGTCACACCAATTCTCCTCCTGGATTCAATTTTTATGTGTCTCTCTATGGACAAGAGTAAGACACTGTGCAACCTGTAACTAGAATTTGGCTGCTCTGGTGTGCGTTTTTTTTAAACCATAAATACTATTTCCCCCTCCTTTTTTTTTCAGTAGGATTCTTAAGTTCTTTTGGAGGACTGAGACGAGTTTCTCACTTGGAAGTAGGCAACACCATGGTGGACTTCTGGAGAATGTTATTTTTATGGACATGCCCATACATCTTTATCCCCTATGCTTCCAGAAAATACTACATTCTTCCAATGAATTAAGGTCAAAGCACCAGCTTAACGATTGGCTTCTGTTGTTCCATTAGTTAGCGAGCTTTACTCTTTGATGTCCTTGGGTTCTCTGCTATTCTTTTTCCCCTGCCCAAGTCGTCAGTAGCTGGTGCTGCAGCCTCTCACAAGGTGTCGGAGTTCTCTTCTCAGCCCTGTCAATGCCTCAGCTTGCAGAACAGAACAAGCAAGACTTTTCAAGCTGAAATGAACACATGAGCTCCTGAAGTTGCAGGTGAGGGAAATCTTCCATGGTAGAATGCCCCTTCCAATGAGTGGATTAAACTTATCCCACCTGAAAGTCTTTAGCCTGGCTGGTATTTGGAATTTCAGCAACAGAGATGGTTCACCTTTACAGTTGTCCAAGTTGTGTTCCCCTTAGTCCATTTACATGTGATATCCACACCTAGAATGCAGAGGTCACTTCAATATACAGAGCTTTCTCAGACCAGATCACCACAAGTATGCGTTGATGACAGAATAGCTAATGCTCTTCCTTTGGGGGTTTTAAAGTAGACTTAAAACTTAGACAAAAAGAACTGGTATGGTTTACTGTAATTACAATAATTAGATTGCTGGGGAAGGTTTGCTGTCGTATGGTAAGTACTCCTGAGACATTGAAGCCATGGAACAAAAGGATTTTCTTAGGTAATACAAGACAGTGATACTTCCACATGTTTTGTAGGAAACTAGTGTCATTAAAGGAAACATGTAACACGATGGAAACTGTATCGTCGCCGATTTGACAGCTGGAGAGAAAGAGAAAGGGCAGCAGAATTTCTTGCCTGTTTTGTTCTCTGGTCTTCCTTTCAGCGTTCCTACTTCTTTTCTCCTGTTAGCGGATGGCACTGAAATGCAGCCAGCCAGGGAGGCTGCCTTTCATCCCCAAGGGTTAAGGCCATAAGAACTATTAGTGCTTAGTTACAGAATCTTGCAGAGCCAGTTATACAATTTTCCCGATGAAAGAATTACGTACTAGACAGCAGTCTGATAGCAGAGAAGGAAAGGAAGCAATTTATTTCCAACTGGAGTGTGGGACGAGACCAGCACTGCTTGTTTCCCAAACTTCAGCTCCACCTACCCCCAGGAAAAACATGCTCAAAGAAAGTAGGCACGCTGTAGTCTATCATGAGGAAATGTGCAGAAAACACATCTGCTGAATCCTACTATTTCCAGTGCTGATCGGATTAACTTTTTTATAGTTCTTCTAGAGTTGAGATGCAGTCTAGAAAAGCTGAGTTCTATTCTCACATTTGTCGCTTGCTATTCATTTTTAAACCAAATCATTAACTCCTTGTAGCTGCAAGGGGGATAGAACTGACCTAAAGCATGAGCTTTACAAGTGACCTATATAAGGCAAAATCTAATTTTTTTTTAAAAAGGATGCCAGAAAACCTACCTGTCCAAATAACATAGACTCGTTTTTCTTGTTGGAGTTGGAGGACTCCTCTAAGGACTTTTATGGACTTAAAGCTTTTATCCGTCACCTGAAGATACCCCTTGTTAGAAGCTTTAAAAGGAAAGCATGGCCTCCCAAATGCTAGTAGTTGGTTATAATTTGAAACCAATGTTTTCAAGTGGTCGGAATGAATATCAAAATGTGATTGAGCTGGGAACTAGTTGGGAACTCTTCAGCTACTATATCTGTTCTGCTTCTCTGGTCATACGTGCAGATAAACCATATTGTCAAACAAACAAAAAGCAACTCTCCCCACACAACCCCCAACTCCGAACATCCAGTGAAAACTTCATTTTTTATAATCAGGCCATAAATGAAATACATTTAAAAAGATTACATACATAGCTATCTTTCTCTCTGCAAGGTACAGATATCTTTGCATGACAGCACTACCTTTCTCTTGGTGTTATACACTCTGTATAAACTGAACTCTGACAGCTTAAAGAAGTTCTGTTCCCCAAAGATTATAGATGAAGTTCCAAAACCAAAGGTTCTGTCCTCCAGTTGTGTCAAAATGAATTCAACAGAGCTGTGTTCTCCGCGCAGATACAGCTGCAGGTGCTGGGTCTAAGACCTGACCAGTATGTAGTTCTTTTGTGCTTTAACTTTTGCTTAGAAAGTACGAGTATTTTTTTCTAGCCAACACAGCTATCCTAGTGCAAGCCCTAATACAGGGAGAATTATCATCGAGTTCCTAATGCAACAGACGTTATGCTGCTTCTAAGTCTGGAACGTTAATACTATTCCATGTACTTTTATACAATTCTGATAGCATTTACAGATAAAGTTTAAAAATTGTGAGGGCAAGTACTTAGTATATAGCTACCAAGAGAAGTCATTGTGTGGTTAGCCAGACTGAGCTTTTCACGAAGAAACTAGTGCATATGACATTGTATCTGCATATTTTTCCTCTGAAGTAAGTACAAGGGACCCCAAGGAAAAGAATGTAAACTAAACCCACATGCATTGTTGTCTTCCAAACACATAAGGTCAGTTACTGTCGATTTAACCTCCCATAAATTTTTTTCCTATCTCACTCAAGACAACTTTTGTTTACACAGTCTGAAAAGAGGTTGTTACCAGCATCTTACGACAACTGCAGTCTTAATCAAACACAGAATGCTGTGAGAGAGCTCTAAGGTGTGTGAGTGTGGTCTGGCGAGGGAAGCTGTGAGGACCAGTGGAAGCAGCTGCTACACCCTGTCACCTGCAGGACATTGTGCGTCTGCCGTCCTCTGACTGCTCCGCACAGTCCCTTCTGAAACACACACTCAGTTCTGACCAGGCAAAGTCTAACAATTAGATGCAAAAGGCTGGAACTTTACCAACTGTTCTCTGGATCATTCTCAGAGTCCCATTTAAAATGCAGGATGGATAGTAAACAGCAAACTTACATTAGTCCCAGTTTCTCGCCAATCCCAGGTTCGGCTTCCTCCCGGCCATACTTTGCAGTCCTTGTACGTTGTAGAGCAGCCTTTCACCTTCATCTGACCCCACGAAAGGGAAGCAATTTCAGGGGAAGACATCACAAAATTGAAGCAAAGTCTGGAAAAAGGATATTTAATACATACCATCAGGCTAACATATGCAGCACGTTAATAAAAACAGAAAATTCTGTCCTTGCCCCAAGGAGCTGGGAAGGAAACGCTATTACAGACTTTATCCACGTGATTTTGTGACAACAGAATTGAACTGAGGATCAGCAGATTTGTTGAGTTACCAGTCCTCTTGGGGATTTTGTGCAGGATTTTGGGCAAATCATTTTATATGCTATATCTGTACAAGTACTGGGTGTTCAACTTTTAAAACTACCAACAGGGATCAGGTCCCAGAATATCCTCTCACATCTGGGTTTTGATCTTCTCCCTAAAACCTACAATGAAGATGATGATAATTTCCTAAAATATCTGAAAGACACACTGTTTCTTCGGCCCTCTAAACCATATTGGCTTTATTAATTTAAGACAATAAATGAGGTTAAAAAAAATCCCAAACAAACCAGCCCAATAGTGAAGCCATCAACAAAACAATGGCATTGCCATATTGCTATAGCAAATGCTTTCAGAGACCTAACGGGCCAAGCCTTCTTTCCCTGGTCACTCCTTACGGAGGCCAAGTCTCCCTATGGAATGTCTCAGGTCAGTTAAGCACCCAAATAACACCTTTTCTAATGTTGACTTTGATCTTCATTGTTTCAACTTAAAACGATTATTTCTAATCCTTTCTATTGTAGACAAGGAGAACAGCTTCATCTTTGTCTTTTCTACCATCTTTCGTTTTCCTGAGGACTTAACTCTTACTCTTTTTTCCCTTCTTTCAGATTAAATAAATTCACTTCCCTTCAGTCATGTTTTCCAAATCTTTGCTTATCTTCTCCTTTTTCCCGGGCAGCCAACAATCGGCATGCATCTTTCTTTGATGTCCGTTGCCTAAAACTAGACAGAGTGCCCCAGGTGAGGCCTTATCAGCCCTGCTATAGACCAACCGCTTTTTGGTATTAACCGCAGTAATTTTTAGATCTGCTATCACAATCACAGCTGGGCATCAGCAGGGCAGGGACTCTGCCTCAGACAGCACCGCCTCACCGCACCGTGAAAGCTTACGCCCTCTCCACAGTCCTTCAGGTTACTGCAATCCCACCGCTGGTGTGATTCTGGCACTTGATGGCAAGATAGGAATCACGCAGTGATGGCCTGGAAATGTCTTGGACTCGCACGGCAGTTGACTGATGCATCTCAAGGGTAGAGTCATCCTTCTGCCCTTCCAGTTCAGAAGGAAGGTGGTCTGAAACCCGCATATTGAAGAAAGCTGGTGGTTTCTGCCGTAGAGCAAGCTCTGCTCTTCTGCTGATCCAGAAAACCTCAGTGGCAGATCCTTCCAGATACACAGAGTCCCTCATCTTTTAATTGTGCAGATTCACCAGGAAAAAAAAAAAAAATCAATCATGGGAACCCTGGTGGCATGAATTAAAGAAAGAGCGCTCACAAAAGAGAGATGTTTGCATTACCAGGATTCCAGTCCTCCTGGAAGCCTCCCTTCCCGTCTTGCACGTGCTGCAGCAAACCGCAGTACGGCCAGACAGGACGTGCTCTCCTCCGATTGCCAGGAGCGGATCTCAGCATCCCGCTTCAAACGTCGCACGAAGTAAAAACTGTGTTACTTGGGATTTGGCGCAGGACCGAGCCTGCCAGAGGTGCTTCTTCCACAGAACAGCGGGGCAATTCTTTCCTTTCCTGCTGCTCTGTGAAGTTAGCGGCACATGTGCCCTTGCCCTGCCAAAGAGGAAGCCAGGCAAGCAGCTACAGGAGAGCGAAACTTGCCTGGATTCATATATTCTAGATTCCCTCATTACATATCCGCAACGCAATGGATTCAAACAAAGGTTCACAAGGCTATTTTTCCAAAAATCTGCTTGAAGGGAGATTATAGCAGAAGAAATAACGAGCAGTAGTCCCAACAGAATGCAATCGCCTGTCAACCAAAGAGTAAAGGCTGAATAAACCCCCAGAACCTGGCTCTGAAAAACGAAAATAATTTTTGCTTGTGCTAGTTTTAAGAGGAAACGGCAGAATTAGACCTGGAGGTCAGACGGAGGTGAATGAACACTAAAATGATTTGGAATATCAGATTTCCCAACCCAAATAGCATTACAAGGCTGGGACTGTGCAACCAAACAGGCACAAACTGCAAATGGGAGAGCAAGGGTTCCATACTATCTTTTCCTAACAGCACAAAAACAAGTAAATAGCAGAAATGAAGAAACAAAACTTAAAAGCCATAAATAGAAATTTGTAATCTAAAACTATTTCCCATAATACTGCCAGAGAATATCAGTAAGGTTGGGTTATTTGAATTAATGAGAGTATCTTAGATCGGAGTAAGAATGAACTTTTTAACAGGACTTCGGACATTCTTGGCGCAGGGCATGGTCCAATCACCAATCAGCAAGGAGTAGAAAAATATTTCCCCAACAAATGAGTTGTTTTTTTAATTATTCACTATGACAAATGTACAATACCAAAATATACAGTACCACTTAAGAACAAAAGAGACCATGAACTATATGACTCACAAGTGTAACCTAAAATAGCGATTTCTGTAAATCGTAGCAGTCCAAACACAAGGAGATGAGGAGGACAAATGGTTCAGGAATCTATAAGCAAAGTTATGAAAGTTTAAAAACACAGGAAATAAATAAAGGAAGCAGAAGAGCTTAAAAGGAGGCAAAACACAAGTTTATGCAAGAAGACTATATTGAAAGAAAGAAATGAAGGCTAAGGACAGCAGAAGAAAAAAATAGCTGAGAAAGAAACAGAAGAAAGTTGAAATTGAAGTGCCGTCAGGCAAGCAGGTGGATTTTAAAATTGCCAGCACACCTGTCTTCTGTGAAGGTAAACGTTGTTTCAGAATAGCACTCACTAGCAACAAATAGAATAAAAAAGGTGAACGAGAGCAGTGCACCAGAGAATATTTTATTGAGAGACTGCAGAAGGAAAGAATGTTTCATAAAATCCAAGGTGTAACCTGAGATCAAAGAGGATAAAGGTGAGAAAGTAAATGGGTGTATGTCAAGTTTTGGGCAGAACAGCTCCTGTGAGGTATCAAAAGACAACATGGTTCTCCAGTGCTGCTGGGAGCAGGGTCAACAGGTGAAGGTGGGTGACGTCCCTGCAGCCGATGCAATTTCAGAAGTGATGCTAGAAAAGCAATTCAGGATTTAAAAACTGACAGCAGAAAGGCAAGTAGAAAGGCCAGGCTAAGCTTAAGTCAACTGGGTAGGGAGAGGAGAGATGTCAAGTTTAAGAACTAGGAAAACATTTTTCAGAAAGTCGGTAATCTGATTTTGCTGGGGAGCTGAGGAAGGCGAGTTATTGGGGGAGGTCACGGAGGGTGGGGTGTTTGCAAGAGAAGGGGGAGACGGAAGGAGGAAAGGACAGAGAACCGAGAGAAGCACCGGGGC